AAATGAGCCACTGTGTGAAGTGGGAGGGATACGGTTAGATGGCATAAAAGAAAGGGTAAGGACTGTGATGCGGACCCTGCATCAAATGAATGGGATGCCTCAAGAAACGGAAAAGGAAGCAGAGTTAACATGTTATATAAAGAGAATGAGAGGAAGACAGAAAAAAAAAAAAAAAAAAAATTAAAAACAATGGGGGAATGGAGCAATGGCAGAGGAAGGGGAAGAAAAGAGAATGCATAAAGACCAACATTTGGCCAGCTACGACATTTCCATCGCAGTCCCAAAGCAATATGCCGCATGGGTTACTCTCCCACCCCATTCAGAGCTATACAAAGGTCAAAATGTTGTCCTGTGTCTGGACCTGTCTTTTTAACAGGTGTCGCGCTTGAAGTGCAGATCCAATAAAATCTAGCACACCGCCAGTTATAAATAAGCTCTCCCATTCCCAGTATTAATAAAATTTGTGGGCACTATTTATTTTAAAAATATGCTCATAATTTTAAAGGCACCCCATGTAGCACATAATGGGATGCTGCAAATTGGTTATATAATAAGTAAGTAAGAAGAAAGAACAATATAAACAGTGGTTTTCAGCCTTGACCCTATGGTGTTTCCTGCCACAAAGAAAGTAAAAACACATGTTCCCTGACAACTATCAAGCAGTTTGTCACTGCTGTTGGGCATGTTGCTGCCTTAGGGCTTGTCTACATGCAAAGCTACATTGGCTTAGCTGGGTTTAATTTGCTGCAAAGGGCTGTGTGAATTCTTATTTTGACTTGCATCAGACTTACCTCAGTTTAGCTGAACAAATTAAAGGTCAGATAAAGCCCGAGTAACTCTGTCGATTAGGACAATCATGGTTCTAATCAATTGCTTACAATTATAGCACTGCCTGCGCTGGCAAAAGCTTGCCTTCTAATAGCTTATCTTGATGAAATTTTGCCTGATTCCTCAGACTGCTTTAATTGACTTAAATTGTACCTGGATGGTCCTTAGGATCTGGTCTCACATGAGTTAATGTAACCAAATCTTTTCCGCTGCTGAAATATTAAGTTCAGTGGACAAACATTAAGTTCAGTGGGAAAGTGCTGGTTATTTTAAATTTTTTTTTTTTTTTTTTAATATTGCACCCAAAGACAGGCACTTCTCAGCATACAGATGAAGGCAGAAGTGGCTGTCTCAGTCCTGTATGGGCACAGGGCCAAACTGAACAAGGGCATCACACGTGTGCTGAAGACCATGCAAGGTTTCCTTAATTCAAAGCCTGCAAGAACCACTTTGCCTCAGTCTTCCTGGGTGAAGCGCTTGGTAAGAATACTTAAGACTGTTGCACAAACACAGGGAAACTTATCTGCTTAGGGAAATGTAATGGAAATGAAGAATTAAACGAATGGAAAACCAGTTGTCATTATTCCAAAGAAGAGTGTCCACAGAAGGAGTTATACCAGTATAGTAATAGGAGGACAATTATAACACTGTAATAACATCAATACGTTTCCTGAGCCTTGTTACAGAGAGCCAGAACCTGTCTTCGTTGTAGAAAGGCTTGTCAGCATCCTCCTTACCAAGGAAATACTCCAACTACTTCCCCTACAGAGGAAAAGGCAACAGCGGCAGAATCTTTTTGCTATTTTCTGTAATTAGTTTTAGGCCAAGGCATGTCAGGTAAACCTAAGGAGAATTTCACCTAATTGTTCCAACATCATCAGTAGCTATCTGTCACAGAAAGCAAATTATTAATTACTATTTCTATTTTTGTTGGGCAGAAAAGCTCTGCCAGGTCACCCCATTGCTCGAGACATCAGGCTAAGAACTGCACAACCACATTGCCAGCATCAACATCAGATTTGTGTTTAGGCAGCCCAGGTGCTGTTATGGTGTAATTAGCAATATATGCCACACATGGAGGACATAAAGCAAAAACTTGCTTCAAAACAGTAGTAAGGTTTGTTTTGGTTTGGTTTTTAAACACCTTTAGTGAAAGGCTAGCTTATATTTTGTAAGACAATAAAAAAAACCACCACAGTGTTAAAATTTCATGAGGGCATATTCCTCATTTTATCTTCCAAAGACAGCCTGTCTTTACATTCACAGTTCAATTAACAGGACTGGATACAGAAAACCCGAGGGTTACATACACTTTGGGGCCTACCAGCCCCTGTTAGCTTTCCCACCGGGGTGAACCACGATGCAGTTTATTTCAATTAGGCAGCTGAACAGGGAAGAGCAGTGCCTCTTCCCACGAGCAGACGTAGCTCTTTGAACCTCTTCGCTCACCGCCCTCCTTGAGCAAGACGGCCCTTTACGCAACTGCACGGAAATCAGTTGGGTCACCCCGAGACACAGCCCTCGGCACCGCCGGGCCTCTTCTGGCCTGCCCTCAGCTGTCACCTCCACCCGCTTCCTACCTCCGACTCCCGCACGCTCCCCGCTCTGCCCTCATCACGGAGGCCGCTAAAGGCGCTTCGCCCTCATTCCGCGTGCAGACAAGCGGCCTGCGGACACGCAGCCG